AAGCACCGGTTGTATTGATGAAAGTCTCCTGGAGGATGTCCTTCTGGATGTCGTGACTGGTTTGGCGGCCATTGAACATCTTGTTGAGGGAAGACACGCCTCCAAGCCCCGAACCGATACATGTGCCCACCTCGGAGACGTGGATGTATTGATAAAGCTCGTACGGATCAGTGATGCCGGAGGAAAGTAACGCCTCAACAGTGCACACCAGCGTGAACAGCGTCACTGGATCGACTTGAGTCACGATATCCTCGGAGATACCGTACGTTCGAGGGTCCCAACCAGTCGGGATGAGTCCGGCAACCGTCTGATTGGATTGCATTGCGCGAGGGATATAGAGTCTCGCGCCTTTGCGAAGCTGGACTTTGAAGAGATCTGGTGTTGTGGATTGCTGCACATCAGCGAACTCTCCATGCTCAGATTTCATCTGCTCGGCGAGTAATCCGGGCACATGGAGAGGTTCCAAGTCGTCCTGCAGTATTATCTCATGTAGAAATGGCTTCTTCTCAGACTCGACGAGACGGATCCCGGTATGGCTCAGAATCCTCTCCTCGTAAATTGATTTGACATCGATATCGGCCACTGGTTTCTTCGTCGCAGCGTCTATCCACCCCGAGTAGGGCGTTCCATCTATTGTTCCGGCAAAGTGCCGGATGTAGCCCATGAGCCAGGCCATTTCAATGGTTCCCTCCAGGGACAACTGGCCATATGCTTCCATCTCCCATCGCGTGCGAGCGTTGCCCACGGGTCCTATCTCCGAAAAACCAGTCACAACTACAGTACGGTGTAGGTCCACCATTCCGTGGAGATCGGGATTGAGAGAGCTGATATCTCGTTCGTAATCAAGCGGCCTGGGAAAGTCCAAGCGGACATGAGATCTTTGCTCGAGCTGCTCCGGTTTGGTGGTTCTCAGTACGGATGATTGGCTCGGGATCATACATTGCTGCTCTAGGATAGACTCTGTGAACAGCGCTGCTTGAATCTCGCTCCGTTCCTTGAGCTCCTGACGCAGGCCTTGCAGTTTCTCTGGAAGTCCATGCATTTCTGCCATGCGTCCGGTCAGGTCCGCGTAAAGGGGTTGCTCTTGGCAAAGCTCGTTGATGCTCTGCAGACACAGGCAGACCAGGACATAGGCCATCTCCTCTTGGGAAAAGGTCCGCATTCCGGCAGACTCAATGCCCTCTGCGACGAGGTCATTCTGGTTCATCAGACCGGTCCCTCGTGTCCATCCGATGACTGCACCGCAGATACACAGGTAGTCCTGCCAATCCTCGGAATGCCACCGATTGAACAGGGTCTCCAACGCCAGTTTGGATTCGCTGTACAGGCCATCGCCCCCAAAAGTCCCATGATTGGGAGAAAGAGGCAAAATCACTTGTGTGGGATGGGATTGGTAGTCGTACTTTTCCTTGTAGGTCTTGACAGCCCCCAGCAGGCGTAGCACGTTTGTCAGCATCAGACGGTGGGCTAGCTCAGATTTCGAGTCAATGGAGTCCAGCTTTCGCCCAGCTTCGCTAATGGCAGCAAACGGAATCAGGTAGTCCAAATCCCACCCAAGACCGCTCTGTGAATAGATGTACTCGATCAGGGAGGTTATGTCTTGGACGCTGGCCTGGTTGAACGGGACCACGACTAGTTGGGAGCCCCTAGCACCATCCTCCATGTAGATAGCCTGATATTTCCGGGCCACATCGGGAGAGAGTGAGGATGTTGTGGTCACCACTCTGGCACCCCCCTGTAAGAAATGTCGGATCATGGCAGCCCCGATGGAACCAATACCGGCACCTGTGATCAGCACGGTTTGGCCACTGAATGATTCGCCACGTTTCTCCACATGACTGAGAGCATCATGGAGCCGTGAGGTCAATGTGTGACTGTACTGCCATCCATGTGCGTGCTTTTCCTTCAAGTGTAGAAACGGTTTCACTGCCTCGGATGTTGGCATGGCCAGGTCAGCAAATGAGGCCGCGCCGCAGCGTTTCTTCTCAAGATATTGTATCTTTCCATCCTCATCAATGGTCGTGCAAGGCGCCGTTTGCTTGGGTGCCCCCTTGAATACTGGTGCGCACTCTAGCGTTTGCTTGCAATATGCCTCGAGATCAGTGAAGATGGAGCACAGAAGCGTATGGTCGCGCAGTTTGGTCATCATCTCGTCTAGAACCGGAAGAATTGTCTCATCCGCTGCATTTGCGATTGCAAAGCAAGATTGTGAAACACTATGGCGGTCGAGAGCGATATCGTCTCCCCGCTGTACCGAGGTTGCGAGGTCGAAAAGCTCGAGGAGTCTCTGGCGGGCCCAGTTCCACGCAGAATCGTACAATCTGACCTTGCGGGGATTGAATTGGGGGCGGATACCGTTCGCGTAGTCTTCCCCATGCTCTGCAGTCCATAGATCCAGCTCGGATTGCAGTCTTGTCTCGACGTCACGACGGAGAGCGTCCAATGCACGTCGATCTACGTCTTGGTCAAGACCAACGTGGGATGCATATATGTCGAGGAGCTGCTTGGACAGCGCTTTTTGCGCCTCAGACAGTGCTCGAAGAGCTTCTGGGTCGACCATTACACCGGGAGCTGAGACTCCATCCGTAGCGGAATGAGATGTGCGCAAAGAAATGCCCTCTTTCGAGGCGTAGCTTTCAACAACACTATCAATAAATGCTTTTGCATCAGATTCTGTAGAAATCCGTGCGGCAGGCTGCTTTGTGACCGCAAGAAGCAGGCAGGAGTCTTGTCGTCCCTGTTTGAGTCCCCACTGCGAACTGAGTTGATCTCGCGCGATAGCTGTAGTGAAGCCGCTGGGTAATTTAGAAGTGAAAAGCGAGTTGATCATGCTCGTGGACACTTTGCCCAGCGTTCCTTTATGGCTTGACTGGATCGCATCCCACACTTCGGTCAAAGGTACGTCTTCTGCGCGTTCTGGCAGCGAGCCGAACTCCCCATGGAGATCACCGACGATCTCGTTTTCCAGTGTCGATCGGCCTGCAAATTCAATCAGCATCCGGAGAGGTTGTCGAAGGGCCAGTGTACTGTTGACATACCGCCAGCAAGATCCTTGATCGACTTTGTCCCGTCAACATCTGACGTTGTCTTTTTCAGCACTCTGGACACTATCGTTGTCACAATATCCCGCGCCTTGACTCCCTCGTCTTCAAGCTCTATTGGCATTGACTTCGGTGTCAACACAGATACCGCCACGGATTCTGATACAGGTGCCAGCTCTGTTTCCACAGTCGATAATGTAACTGCGATTGCTGGTTTCTTATGATCTTCCTTCGGCGGGAAACTTGGAGCAGGAACGTGTTCGAAGTAGACTTCTTTGGTGTCCCTCTCTGAGTTTAAGAGTCGGCGAGGTTTAGGTCTTGTGCACTCCTGAGTCTGATAGAGGCTGTTTATAGTCCGCTGAAACATGCCAACCAGTGTAGGACTGGGCCCAATTTCGACGATCTTGTCGCATTCCCTGCGCGAGAGGATTACGTCTTGAGTTTCAATCCATCGTACCGGGGAGGCAAATTGATATCTTGAGGAATCCAGTTGTCAGTCACTGTTCTTTACAAGCATTCCCTCTCATCACATTGGCTACTTACGCCATGAGCTCAATGAGCAATATGCGAGCCAGCTTGCGCTGGGCATCCATATCGACGGCCATGGTACCTCCGCGCGAGTCGAGGTTGATCGTTCGAGAAGAGTCAGATTAGGCACTTGAAGTATGAACTTCCCTTTGTCAGAGAAGGACCAAGTGAGACAGTAAGAATGACCTGTCTTACTGTCAGTTGACCTTCGACACTCGGTCCCGGTGCACAGAACTTTGGCTTCAGGTCGGCTGAACGCTCTCGAGAGGCGCAGCTCTGACAAGTTCATCCTTCGCTGATCACCAATCCCGATTAATACTTCTATCAGCATGTGAGATTCCAACATCCGCCTAACTGGGTTGCCATGCCCGGTGCTAGCAACTAGTTCATCTCAGCCGCATGCTTCCACCCGGGCATCTCGAGCTCTCTTCCTTGTGGCCGCAGCCGTAGACGGTACTTCCGGCCCCCACGGTGCAGTAGCATCTTTGGCTATTTGCTATCGAAGATGACGCGAGAATCTAGAGGTGACCACTTTTTTTTTTTGAAGATATTGTCATGATGGTGTGGATGGTGGCAACTGTATACTTGACCTGGCATGTAATGCAACGATGTATTTGGTACATGACCGGTATGTATGAAGTCAATGTTATGTATGTATGTACAGACGTATGTACGTACGTAGGTGCATTTGTACGTACGTATGTATGTAAGCAATGTAATCTATAAAATGTAAGACAAGAAACTTACTTGTCGGCGGTATTACGCCAATCTAAACCGACAACGTATGTTGGATTGTTCGTTATATTGCTGATGCATATGTGCGGTATTAGCGGCCTAGCGGCCTATTATTAGCTAGATTAGGGAGTCCTGCCGTCCATCTACCATTTTCCGAAAGAGGACTGCATATTGTCTGACTAGCGTGTCATATTGATTCCACTGGCAGTGCGGGAATTGGCGCTGCAGGTATACGTTGCTGATTTGATATGTGAAATGACTGATTGCCTTGATATTAAGGCACCAAGACGGGATGATGTCTGAGGTATCGACCCTGCAACCCTCAGCAATACCAACACAGCCAAAATGAAGGCATGAATTCCTAATAGTCATAGATTGATGTGCTGGCGATAATTCACACAACGTAGAAAACAAAAATGTTTATGTGCCTTTAAATAATTGGAAATATGGATAGATAAGGGAGAAGCACATGCAATGTGAAAGAAATATGGATGAAGAAAAGTCATTCAAGAATCGTTACTCTTAAGTAGATGATCGACTATCAAATACCCTGAAGAATCTTTCTGCCTTCACCCGCCACAGGACAGAGCATCTCTGTTATGTATATGCCTAATCGTTCCGCATGTGTAACATTGCATTGTGCTTTTACTTGCATCATGCAAGTCTCCAACCCCATGTCACTCTGTGGGTCAGTCACTATGGTGCGTTGCTATCCCCAGCGCCCTCCCCAACAGGCGAAACCTGCCACAGCCAATCCTCGTTGGACTTGACTCTTCCTTTCTGAGTGTCCACGAGAGTCTGCAGCAACTTTTGACAACCATCGCCGGGGCCATCAGTACTAAACTGAAAAGTCTCACCAGTGGACTTCCGGGTGATTGATCTGATGGGGACCAACATTGCCGCAGTGCCAACCGCCACGACCTCAGTGAAGTAGGGGAGCTCGGAATATGGGATCTGTACATGGGTTAGGATATCCAGACCACAGATCCCATAGATATAACATCAGAGTCCAATGTATTGAGGAGGCGAAACTTACCGCGCGGACCTCGACATTCCAACCCAAGGATCTGGCCAGGTCCAGACATGTGGTGCTTGTTACACTCTTCAGAATCGAGCGGCTACTGGGCACAACCACTGTAAAGGACTCCCCGGTCTTCTTCAGACCGAGAAATCCTGATGTACTGAACTCATCAATTTCGGAGTTGGTCCGGCTATCGAGGTGCAGGGTAATGAAGAAGCCCTCAGCGCGGGCCTGGTCACTCCATTTCAGGACAGGGGCATAGTTTCCGCCAACCTTAACATGGCCCACACCTTTGGGAGCAGCTCTGTCCAAGTCTTCCAGAATCAGGGCTGGAATAGGCTGACTGCCATGGTAGGCTTTATAAGGCTGAACATAGATGCAGAACTTGTATCCCGTACCAGCAGAGACAGCAAAGAAAGCATCGGATCCGAAGGCCAGAGGCCGAATGTACAGAGCAGCGTCCGTATCATGTGGGGGTACATACTCCGCATTCCTGGCAACGGCCAAATTGACACTACGTAAAAAGAGTTCTTCTGGGATTGTAGGAATAGCAATGGCCGAGCATGACAGAGCAAGACGGGCTGCGTGGTCCTTGGGCCGGAAGACGTGGATCTGTCCTTGGGGGTCACGATAGGCTGATCCATAGTCAGTCCGATATCCATCCAGGAGCCATAGGTAGGTCTTGTGTCAGGATACCTTTCATGCCCTCGAACGCTTGCTGGCCTAGTACATTGTTAGAGATTGGCTCGAATGGCTTTGTTCTGTGCACATACCATAGTTGAGCCCAGGGGCAAGACCGTGAATCCGCAGCAAAGGATCTTCCACCAGTCGGGGCTCAGACCAATGACCTGTGGACACAGAGTAATCACACTCGACATGAGCGTTCACTACATGCGCAAAGGCTCTCAGTCAGCGTCCACTGCATCGGGCCGTTGGACAGATACTGACCATTCATAGGCGCAATCCCGAGCTTGTCCCACTCTGAAATGAAGGCAGATTAGTCTCTATGCACTTATTCTGCGACATAGGCAGCCCACCTAGAGATTCAGTAGGGGGAGGCGGGAAGGAGCTCATTGTGGTGTTCTGCTGCAGTCCAATAGAGCAGGGTCAGGGCAATTCGAGAAGTGACAAGACACTTGGATTGAAAGATGAGACCAAGACTGCTTTAGTGAACTATCACGCAATATAAATCATTTGCATACTACTTGAAATTTACAAAGGATAGTCTTAGATTTTATCCGACAGCATCAGGTCAGCCTCAGAGCTAGTGTGTTAGTCGGGCGAATTTGAGAGTACTGCCTCTACAGTAGTAGACCTGTTTTCATGGAGTATGAGTATGGGGGCTGAATCCCCATTTGCACCAGATATATAACCAGATAAATACTGTGCAATACACTGATATAATACAAAGTAACATTGTATTGTATCACCTTTGTTATATCTCGGTGGTAACAATTAGCAATACACTACCGTATTTACTTAGGTAATTATTGATCTATTCAAAGTAAAGGTGGGTCCGCTGCAAAGGAAATGAGGGGATTTTCTCAGCTGTCATGCAATGCGGAGCGAAGATGGTTAGGCAATATCAAAGAATAAGATTTTGAAGGATTCAGAGCCGCTAAATATGCATGAATGTAGGATAGCCTAAACTGGAAGTTGGTACATGCTTTGAGATTCTCCAAATACAGCCAAGTACCTTGAGCGATTTTCCATTGATCAGATTGGTAGTCTAGAAGCGAATCACTGCGAATCCTTCCAAATGATCCTGGCTGCACTGTGGCCTAGATGGCGCCCATTACAGGGGGTTCCTGACATAGTCTAAGACTATACAGACAGCCTCGAGCACAATGATTGCGACTTCTGTTGACTGCCTGGCGCAATCTAAGACTCCAAGGTGGCAGGTTTAACCGATACTACCGTCCTCGTTGTGCTGTCTCGAAAATTGACTCAATCCTAGTGAAAAAGCACCCTGGCCAGGTAGTAGTATGTTGATGGAAGTTTTATCTCCACCAGTCATGATACGAAGTCACGAGTTGATATGCTCCCCACATAGCAGCCTTTAGCATTCGTCAGACTATGAGTAATAGCTAATCAGGCAGATAGCCAGAGTTGTATCGATTCTATTGAGCGAGTAGAGCTCTCTGTGGCACGCAGCACTTGAGTTGGCCGACAGTAATGGCTTTGCTTCTATCAATTTGGATAAATGGTTTTGCCAAGCTTCGGAGAGAGCTATAGATCTTTCAGACGTCGAATTATACTTTTATGGATCCTTTCATTTTCTTCCCGAGGTTTGTGCCGCGAATACTCAAATAGCCAATTGCGAGACATCCTTCGAAATTGGCGTTCTATACGCTCCTCGACCATGATAGAAACTTGGACAAATAATCCAATAGCCTGAATGAATACAATCTGCAATAGGACATTTAATGTCGTGCGACTCCTATACAGTGTGACAGATTGTTTCCCTTGCAGACCCCTCCTATATCCGTCGCATTATAGCCACCGAACCACGTGGTGCTGCATCGCTGTACGATCAATTCAACAAGGGAGGATATAGTGGGGATGATCAGCCCATGGTACCTGCAAGGCAGTCGTCTCATTATATTTGTCATTCATACAGCCATTATATCGACTATCATAATATTATATCCATATCCAACACATCCCCTCTTACTCCTACCCAAATGAATATTTGAACATATCGTTACTGTCAAGCAACACGAAAGATTCATACCGAAGTCCCCTGTCCACCGGCGGCTGTTCAACGTCACGGGTGACATTCGATGAGACTTCAGCCCATCCCTTCCACAGAGCTCTCCAATAGCATGCCTCGGCAGCTGGGGTTAGGTATCGCTCTCGGAAGGTTTTGACACTGTTATTGGCTATACGCTCTGCCTTGTCCGGGTTCTTCAAGAGTTCGTCCATGCGTTTTGGGAGATCAGAGAAGTCTCTCTCGACTTCCACATAGTTCTGTTCCGGACCGGACGATACGAGGAGATAGTGGTGATGTTGGATATGCTGCAGCTTATGCGCCACGACGACGGACCGACAGGCTTGTCGGTATTTAAGAGATGCCGAGTATGCGCGACCTGGATATCAACGATATCTGTCAGCCTTGTCCAGCAAGTTGAGTTGAAAGAAACATACCTTCGACATGTCCAATAAACATGTACCGACAGTGATCTTCCATCGACAAGAAGTTGGCCTTCTTGCTCCAATCCAACTCCTTCACATCACTCCAAGGCTTACTCCGTGCAGTGTCCAAGAGCGCCCGACGCAGCTTTGGTGCAAAGCTCAACTTCCCCCGCCAGACCAGCTTCTGTTCTTTATCTGCGAATTTCAGATTGGTTTCAGCGGCCATGATGCGCTGTAGGACTTGTCCGTATGGGCCGATATTACTCTTGGCCCAGGACCAGTACCCAAAATCGGGCATCAGAATGACCGACTCCTCGGATGCTTTCCTCGATAACACCCAGACGGGGTGGCCCACCGCGTCAACGTCGTCCACGCGGTCTTCGATCGAGAAGATAAACTCGATTGTGGGGTGCGAGGTACGATTCGAGGACGCGGATAGCGCCCGATGGATAGATCCTAGAGTACCAAGGATCTTGCGCCGGTGGTCGGCCCCTTTTGCTCTTGTCGCCACGACGTACAAGTCTCCGTTGGAGATGATGGCGCGAGCCATACCATCCTCGAATGGTACCGCACCCAGATCGTCTCTTGATATGCCTCCTCGCGATTTCCAATACTCGATGCCGCGGTGGATATCCTGGAAGAGACCGGGGAATGCTGCCTGGCATTGACTCTGGCTCAGGCCTAGCTTCTGGTCGTCTCGACCGTACTGGAAGCTCCAAGCTGCAAGGGGTTCTGGTTCCGATGGTGGTGGCGAGGCGAGACAGGTGAGGCAGTCGGCGCACTGAAATGAAGTGGATGATTGGCAAGTACAGTGGCCTGCTGGGATGAGTTGTGTGAGGAGCGGGGGGACATTATCACGGTCCGAGTTCATTCCAAACCATATCAAATAGACGAAAACACCGCAAGCGCCAACGCCGACTGCGAATAGCATCCGACGAAGTGAACACCAGGTGGCCCATGACCGCTGCATGATGAGAATGATGAAAATGGCGGGAATGATTGTGGGATACCTGGAGAAGGTAAGGAGAACACCGAACCTCCCCCAGGCAGAAGGCTGAGCCAGCGGCTCAGAGATTGCCTCAGCCCACAGGGGAGGGACTAGGGACTGCGGGTCTTTTGCCCAGACAGGTTAAGGATAGGATCCCTGAACGGGTTACCCAGTCAGCCTAAAGGTATAGTCAAACGAAGGGTTCGTGGTGGAGGTTAGTTGGGTTGGCGTACATTTAGACCCAACAAGATGACCCACAGGATCGTCGCCTCTAAACCCTCTCAACCAACCGGATCAGAAATTGAAGACTACCTGTCAATTAGTCCCTGAGTTAAGAAACACTACAGCCACTAGCTATGACTGGCTAAATGCGATGTAACCCTTGGACCTTCTTCCTATCCCAATTAGGGAAATTTATTTCAAAGTGAAGCAACTGCTAAGCGATGTCCATCATGAAAATTCTAGTACGGTTTGGTGAATTTGAGAAGCTTCAAATCCATACTACTTTCTTCCAATTGTAGAGAAATAATCGGACTCGAACTCAGCTACATTCTGGAAACTAAAAGCCAAGGCTGGGGCCCTGTGGCCCTAAATACAAATGTGTACGGTATGCACCTCCCATCCGATCAGCACGCCGGAGCTCCATTTAACAACCCGTCACCCGGTCAATCTTGATCATACAGCCGTTGGCGATTTGCTTGCGTCCGCAATGGCTGCAATGGCCTCGGTTGCGGATGTCATTGTAGGCGTCCATCAAATCCTGCCCCATGACTTCACAGTGGTTGCCGCTGACAAAAAGGCCGCAGGTTCCACTGCAGGTTCCAGTATTGGATTTGCTTTGTCGAGTTAGTGAAAAGTCAAATCATCCATTCTCATTAAAGCGTAGACATACTCGAGGTAAGTGCTGTAGGTGTTGCTGGGAACAACCTTGCGATAAGCATCGTCACAGCTAGAACCGAGTCTTTCGCACAAGGCAGAGCCCTTGCAGTCGACGTCCCCTTCGGACAAGGCCATCAAAACATTGCCGGTCTCCGCAGAGGGTTCGGTTTCAACCATGACGGATTTTTCGCCATTGAAAACGGGGAACTTTTCACCCCTAGCAACGATTGGGCCGGGGACTGCTGCCGCAATGGTGGCCAGGACAGTGACGGCATAAACGGCGTGGTTGATAAGCTGCATTGTGGTGGTTTGGATAAAGGGCTCTTGGTCAGAGAAAGACAGAAAGATTGTATGGATTCTGGATGGTAGCAGGTAGAGTTCCTGAGTGCGTTGGTAGTAGAGAAGTCGTCCAGAGGCAGCGAGCATCGACCTTTTTATATCCTTCCGGTCACAGAGATTCCGGCCATGTTGCCCACTCGACTGGTATTGGAGTTCAACTTCCCGACAAGTGTCCAGTTTCCCATGGACTCCGCTGTTGGATAGTCGCCCTTGGGCTAGAGAGTTGGGTTCTCGATGGAGTAATTGTTACATCGCCTCGATGGACAGGCGTGCAGGACTGATATCAAGCGTTGGTGAACAGGCGATTGACCGACACGTCCCAATCAGATTGCTGCTCAGAGTATTCAGTTGGTTACGGATCCTGCCAGCGTCTTTAGTGGCAAATGTTCCATGACACTCTGGAAGTTGAGCGTGAAAAGGGCGCGGATAGCGCGTGCCGCAGTTCATTCTCTATGTCAAAGCTATCTCGATCAACTACTGATCTTGCACAAAGCTGCCTTGCCAGGAGATGTCCCACGACACAGCGCTGGCTATGCGGAGACATGGGACGGAAGTCGTGGTCACCTTTGCATATCATTAACTGGATTGGTATCAGACCCTGGTGATAATATCTA